TTTAATTTGATATAGGGGTTTAGGTATCTACAGCTTAAACTGCACGCGCTACATCGCTTGCGCGCGAGACACCCCTGAAGGTATACTGTAACCTTAAACTCCCTAATAAGTTGTTGTTTTGCAGCATGGATTGGCTCTTTGTACCACGCCAGTGGTTGTCTACTCAGTCCTCTAGGTGCGTATTTCAACGAACGTTTCAGCTACAGGTTCACCGCCATTCTGGGTTCAATCTTGGGAATAATTGGCTTCTTCCTTGCGTCGCTGTCGTCAAAACTCTGGATGATGTACTTAACATATGGTGTTTTGTCAGGCATCGGGCATGTGATGATTTTCAATTGCTCTTATTTGATCGTCCTGCAGTATTTTGTCAAATGGCGCTCAGTGGCTGTTGGCATTGTAGCATCGGCACCGGCGATCGGCATGTTTGCAATGACTCAAGTAACGCAGTCGATACTCGCTAAGTTTGGATGGCAGGGGGCACTACTGGGATTTGGTCTTTTGCATGTTGTTGCGGCTTTGTGTTCAACCGTGTTTGTACCTCTGGAGAACAAGAAGGAGAAACGTAACAACGACAACACAGTTGGAGAAATAAAGTATCAACAAAAAACAACAACAGACGATGTGCCTCTTTACAAGAATCACTCCTTCTTGATCATGCTGTCTTCATTTGTTGTTGTTATGTTCGCCTACTATGTTCCTACGGTCCATATAGTAAGTACATAGAGGTCTCTCTTCGTATATTTCGTGACTACTTTTTAAAGATTTTTTTGCGATTCAGTTAAGTTGTTAACATAACGGGCTCTCCAAAAAAATTTGGAGGACATTGGTCATTTGGAACAGCTCTGTTAAACTTTGTACTAGTAATACGGGCTGAAACGAGGTTAAATAACGTTCCTCTTGTGTAGAGTGGGTTCAGAGCCACCTTAAATTTTCGAAAATTTAATGTGGCTCTGAACCCACTCAACAGACGTTTTTCAAAACTTTGCAAAAGTTGCAGCTCAAATTATCATGTTTATCACAACTCGATAATGAAAAAAGGGGATCACCGAGCTCGATTTTGAGTTAGAATTAAGGGCGCTTTTAGCAGGTAATATTGTTGCTATTGTAATCTGTTATATAAAAGGGATGACCGTAACTTTTTTTTTTACCAATGATATGGTATTTGTATGACACTATTATTGCAGCATCACTTGTTAAACAGTGTTAAACAGCTGTGAATGAACGTGCATTATCGCGTTCAGTATAAGTTGCATAAGTAAACTAGAATTATTCAGCCGACCTAAACAAATATCTCAAGGTCCTCTCTTTTCACGCACAGGTCAAACATTGTGAGCAAGAACTTCATATTTCCGAAAGCAAAGCCGCCATGCTTTACACGTACATGGCCATAGCATCCGTCGTAAGTCGTAACGCATTCTGCAAACTTGGAGACTTTAGATACTTCAAAAGATTCCATCTTTACCAAGCCGGCATGACCGTCAGTGGATTGTGTGTCATTTGCCTTCCATCAGCCAGATCATTCACCTCTGTTGTAGCCATTTTCATAGTCTTTGGACTCATGGAAGGAGCTTACCACGGACAATTTTCCCTGCTCGTGTTGGAGTGTTGTGGAAAACACAAAGTCAATCAAGCGTGGGGTTACATACCGATTTTTACTGGTGTGAGCACTGGCCTCGGATCTCCAATGGCTGGTGAGATTCAAATACTGAGCTATCAGCCATTATAGTTCTCCACTAAATTTTCTCTGATCGGTCTCAGATTGGTTTGAATTGATCACGTGACGCGATAGAGACACTACCGTCGGAGGAAGCGTGGCCGAGTGGTTAGAGCACCGCATTTAAAATCCGTAGATCCCGGGTTCAAATTCCGTTCTGACCGCCAGCTGATGTTGTTCTCGGTAGCCCCGAGTCCAACTTCTCGGCTGCGCTTGCAAATAGCCAACTGGTCTGCCTCCCGCCAGTTGTGATTCTTAACTTAGTTATGTCTTTTTTGAATATTTATTTATCATTGTTTGTTTACATTGGTCCTGAAAAGCCCCAATGAGGAGGCCAATTAAGTATACACATCTGCCCATAGTTCCCGTCTGTAAACAAGCGGGCTTACATAAAAAAAAAAAAAAGAATTGAAAGACGCAATTTGTCTGTTTTCTTTTCTAAATTTTACATTTAGCTTTCATGCCTTTCATCTAATAGATCTGAAAGTAATTCAATATGATTTTTGAACTGCCCGCGGAAGAAAATTTAGTGGTGAACAATAAAGATAGCGGCTGTAGGTCGTCTACTAACTATAAATGGTAATGTTATTTCGTTTTTCAGAAGTTTCGGGGGAGCGTTAAGAAACTCTATGGATAATTTAGTTCCTAAAAGGACTAAAAGTAACATTCAGGGTTTCTTGACTTTAAAAACTCGAAATTGTTGAGAAACGCTGATGTCTGCGTACACAGCTGTAAATTACAAATAACAGTTCAGTCCGCGTAAATCTTAACACTAAGACCAGAAAACACTAAAAACAGTCATTTAAAGTAGAGTAAATTTAGAATTTAATAAGATTATTCGCTCCAAATTCCTATGAGGTGATAGGTGATTCGACCTTCAGGCTTCACCAACTATTTATAATTTAAACAATACAGTGTTTCTATCGAGGAACTATAGGCTGATAGTTGCCCAGCGGAAATTTGATGTTCTTAAAAAAATTATGCTAGTTTTAAGAACATCAAATTTCCAATGGGCAACTATAAGACCGATAGTTCCTTGACAGAAGCACTATTGTATTCATTGTTCACCTCTAAATTTTCTTACGCCGAATGTAAAATTTGATACAGAAAACAGACAAATAGCGTCTTTCAGTTTTTTTTATATAAGCCCGCTTGGTTACAGAAAAATTTTCACGGACGAGTACTATCCGTGCCAGTATTTTCCTCAGACGGGCACCATGGGCAGATAGTGTCTCTCCGCCGATGAGCACTATCGGTCACGTGATCAATTTAAACCAATAAGAATAGGAGAAAATTTAGTGGTGAACTTTAACACTTCAAAATCTATTAATTGGAATAATTGTTTAATAGCAAAGCAATATTAGACTCCAAGTTGCTGATGGCTTGTTGTCTCAAATAGAAACTGACTTTCTTCACAGGTTTGTTGGCGGACATGCTTGGTTCGTACACCGTTGCCTTTTACACCGCGGGCGCAATACTGATAGTTGGAGCTTCGATTACATCACTTATGGCGTTTGTAAAACGACAACCTGAAGATGCTGAAGAAACGCTATCTTACGGCGAAAAGCTTCTGGTTACCGAGAAAATTACAGTGGTTTGAACTTAGCGTTACTTCGCTTAGCAACCGGCCTAATGCAGCTATAATATTTCTATGTTTTTTTCCATATCGCTCGGTTTGATGCGCGAGACGATCAATGGGGAACAACAGCCCGCTAACCGGGATTAGTAAGATTACTAGAAACTAGTTGGTATATGTGATTAAGATTATTTGTGTCAGTCAGGATCAAAAAAAAAAGGGCCCTAAGGTGTCATGTTAGGGTAAAGGTCCTGTTAGGTAAAAACTAGACCCCAAAAATTTCTAACGACGCAAATCGTAGCCCCAAAAGTCCATCTTTTTCCTTTGTGCCAAATTCCTATATTATTTTTTATTCATTAAATAAATAAATATTTTTGAAGGTGGGGAGCAGCATGTGTTTGTTCAGGGAAACAATTAAAGTAATACTTTAGAACCACGAGCTTTCGATTTTTGTCAATCGCAAGAAAAAAGTAAAAGGTAAAGTCTGGGACCCATCAGATCGGCGCTTATCTCCGGTTTCATTAGCAGGAAGGGACTAGGCGTATTTCTACTCCTCCCTGAATGGAATGCTAGTCCATCTATCATAGCATGGTTATCTACCAGCATTTAATTTCGCCGGTGTTCATTTGTTCACCTGGGTGGAGAGAGACACTGTGAGAGTAAAAGTGTCTTGCCCAAGAACACAACCCGACATAGCTTGGAGTCTAACCCGAACCGCTCGATCCGGAGGCGAGTACACCATAACCATGTGGCCACTGCACCTCCACAACCCTTAAAAAAGCCTTTTTAATACTAAAATATTATGATCTGATCCCAGAATGTGATCCCTTGTTGCATTAGGTGACTCATAGAATTGCAATCAAACTTCAACTTATATGTAAGTCTCGCTTGTCACCACTGCCACAGGGATCCCATGAGACTTTCAGAAGTTGTCTGCGTAAGGACGGATAAGGCAAATTTCGAACCCTCACCGACTGACCTCAATTTTTCAGCGAAAGTCAACCATTATATCCAATGTATAAATATCATCTTTATTTGGATCAATTCGATTTTTTGCATTTTTGTGAGACGGTTTTCAAGGTGACCTCAAAACAGGCTGATTTGCCTTGGGAGACTCTGAAATTTAGCCATAAATGTCGGACGCTGCCAAAACACAGTTCTTTTTATTCCAACATCTTGAATGTTTTACATGCAAAAGCTTCATCTTTCTTCAATATTTTAAAGGTTTAACAATTATAATCCGCCAAAGTTTGACGGAGTTATGAATTTTTTAAAATACATCCAGCCATGCCAAATTCCGGAATGTGCGAAGGGTGACATAAAGCTATTCTCTCAAATGTGAGACGTGGATGGATACATATTTTAAACAATTATTGGATGAGGTTTTTGTGATATCCAAAATAATCAAGGTCGAGGTAGAGGTTATTAGCATCAGCCTTAGGCTTCGGCTGATAACCCTTACCGAGACCTTGATTATTCTGGATATCACAAAAACCGAATCCAATAATTGCTTTACTACACATTGAACGGAAAAAAAATGAGTCATCTTTTTGCTTCTTCACTGACGGCAAGTAACGCAAAGCGCGCGACCTTGACATGATTACCCTTAGAAATCATGCACCGCGGTCATACATGACATGATTACCCGTGACCTTGAGTGTCCTTGACATGATTATTGTATAATCTGCAGTTATGACATTACAGGCGCTGATTTCGAAAATTCACTGTACGCTTTCGACCAATCAGAAAAGAGATAGTGACTTCAATGTATAATAATCTTAATTATCCTAGCCTAGGTGAAGAAAAGACAGCACCAAAAAACCTTTAACATACTGCGCAAAATACTAAATTGACAGGTGTCGACTGTATAACTTTTTCGTTTCGGAAATTCACTGCAAATAGAGACATGAATCTTCGAAGATGCCTCTGCCATCTAATTAAACCGTTTAGAACTTTTCCCTGTACACTTCTTATACTTGCGTCCTGGATAGCCACGGGCTTCCACGAAAGTGCCTAAGATTCCTTCATGCTAGTTACCGTAGTAAAAATGTAGTCAATTTACTTGCGAATTCTCAGTTGTCCCTAAATTTGAGGACATAGTGAACATCCTGAGTTATCATACATCTCAGTAAAGTCATTCACCGGAAGGATCCAGCTAAACTACAAATTTCAAGCAACTGATTTCGTGACGTTGGATATCATTTTTAAAGTTGTGAAATTTGCATTCAAATCGTTCATACTGCACATTGTCTTACGTTTCAGTATAGTAACCGTTGTATCAAAATATTGTATTGTTATTGTGAAACTCAGAAAACCGTGAATACCAGAAATATTTAAGGATTATTATTGTGTAGCAAGGAAGAAGCCAAGTAAGGTGGCTCCATAGGGTAATCATTTATGGCGTTGCGCACGCAAGTGTTATGTTTTGAATGCTGTTTTTGTATTTGCTTTCACAGCTAGTCCTCTCAAACTTATTACATGTAATAAGCAATGAGTAAATAGTGTTTTGCTATCATCTCTGTTAAAATTTTGGGATTTAGTCTTAAATTATAAATGTCCAAACAAAAGTGTTTTTTACTGTTTTTATGGCTTTATTTGAGATTTTCATGAATTTGTTTCGGTGAAATCTTCCAAAATTTTTACATCACATCGCTTTTACCTGGATATGAACTTTAAACACGAAAAAAGTAAGGTTTGTAAAGGCAGTTTTTTTCGATAATTTCAAATTTATGTCTTTTGCCGCTGCAAAAAATCTGGTCCTATAGATTTCCCTGAAAAACGAGCTCCGACTAAAGTAAAATGTTTGCTACCAATCTGCCAAATTTTACGGAATTTTTCCGAAGGAAACGCGAGAAAATTCACTGTCAGTTTTGCTTTTTGTGCTCATGTTGACGAAATGAAATATCGAAAAACACTGACGTTTTCCTTTGAGCGCGCGTTGATTACATCCTCAGCGCTCGCGCGATCGTAAAACTATAGGGAGCCACCTTAAGCGTGAGAAAACTAAACCGCTAACACCAGCGGTAACAGGCCACATTCGATATATCAATATTCTAACATGGCTCCGAGGCTTTCAGGACAAACTTCTATATTTGGTGTTGTTTTCTTTGTATCCAAGTCTCTTTTGGAAATTCAGGGAAAGACAAAGGAAACTTTAAAAAAATTGCAATTTTGACCCGAAAGCCTCGGATGGATGCTAGAATATTGATATATCGAACGTGGCCTATTAGTTGTGGTTTCGAGGTTCTCGCGTGTCCTGCACTTTATTGTGATTGGTTCAGTACCCAATTAACCTTTTGGAATCAAATCCAAATGATCACAGTTTTCTGAGTTTCAGAGTAATAAAAAAAGCGATTGCATAAATTTTAAATCCAATGTCCAAATTCCTGAGTCCTCACATTACCAAATTTTATATATGGGGAGGCGACCATTTCCGGTCCGGGATCATTCACGGTAAAATCTGGGTATCATTTCCGGTAAGGGGATCACAGTGTGGGCCGAGATCATTTGCGGGCCTGTACAGACCTAGGATCGAGTGTAACATCAGGATCGAGTGTAGCATTGGTGTATAAAAGAATAAAATTTCCACGAGAGTATGCCAATTATTCGCCATTTTGATGATAAACTAAGATAACGGCGGTCGCACCTACAACCAAGATACATGAGGCGTAAACGCTTGAAGATAAAATAACCACCACCACAGGTCAAATTGTGGATATAATGTCTATAATGTATTTGACGAAAAAAAGAGTAACAGGACACCAACATAACTATAAGAAGCTAAACTGAGGTGCCCATTAAATAATACAACTAGTTGTACCTATCGGTAAGTGCCAACGAGTGAATTGAGTTAGTAAACAAGAGTCGATTGAATTTTGTAATATTTATTTGGTATACTTCTAGTATAACAGGTGTTAAAAACAATTTTTTTTTAGCTAATGTTTCAACTTATTGCTGTAATTGAACACAACGTTGTTTATTTTTCAACTCAGTGAGTGAACAAAACGCGACACACTTTTTTGTTACACTTCCAGTATAACAGGTGTTAAAATTAATTTATTTTCCCTCGTTGGGCGATTATTTTGGTAAGTACTTAAGTAATTTGCCTACCATTCTGCTTTTTGAGGCGTATACATCTTGGATTTGTTGTGATTGAGTCATACAATTGTTAAAGCTGAACAAGAGCCGAGTTGTTTTCTGGAATAAATTCGAGTGTTGTGTATTTGATTCAGGGTAACGCTCAGGATTTGTTCGCCATCCATTCAACGATTTATTTCGGTAAGTAGTTTGTCAGACATTCTGGTTTTTGAAGGTGAATGTAACTTCGATTTGTTGCGATTGAATCGCATAATTGGAAAACCTCATTCACGTGTTTATTCGAGCGAAAGCGCTCTTTGAGAGTAAATTTCAATCAAAGTGTTGACAGAGCCAAAGAAGCTCAAATCGAACCAACGAGTTCACTTCTGACGACCTCTGCGCAAAGTTCTTGAAATTAAAAGAAACTTCAAACCAAACATATACCATTAATCACTTAAAAACGTACCGCGAATCACCGAATTGATTGCAAATAATCCTTTAAAAACACCTTCAAATTAAACAAACAACATTGATAATCTTCGTCACATTACGTGTAAGCTTGTTTTACACTGTCTCTGCTCAAATTTTTGTCTCCGTGAAAACGCGTTAAATCGAAGTTACATGCACCTCATTGATCCATTACTAACTTATTTTAATTTACATTCACCTTTAAAAAGCAGACGCTGTGTCTCTATGTCCGGCAGCCGGACATGTTTTTCAAAATAATCCGTGTCCGAAACCGGAAGGCCGCGGGCGGTTGCCGTGGCGCAGTGGTAATGGGTATCGCTTGCCATGCCGGTGACCTGGGCTCGATTCCTCTTGGGGTCGCCTATCAGAGAGTTCTTTCTACGTTGTTTTACTTTTCAAAGAAAAAGTCTCACTGCCGGACACAGAGTATTTTAAAAAACCTGTCCGGCTGCCGGACATGTAGCCACAGCGAAAAGCAGAATTTCAGACAACCTACTTACCGAAACTGAATTCGTCGAACGGATGGCGAACAAATCCCGAGCGTTACTCTGGATCAAAAAAACAACACTCGAATTCATTCCAGAAAGCAACTCGGGTCTCGTTCAGCTTTAACAATTGTACGATTCAATCACAACAAATCCAAGATGTATACGTCTCAAAAAGCAGAATTGTAGCCAAAATAATCGCCCAACGAGGTTCCGCACGAGGGAGAGCTGAACAAATATCGAAGCCTCGTCACGCCACAAAGAATACTAGTGTTCTGATTGGTTCGTGCGATATATCGACAACATCCGGCTACAATTAGACCCGTGGCCCTTAAGGGCGAAGGGTCTAGTCCACTAGTTGGGTGATACTAAATTCTAATATGCCCCAAAAAATATCACTGACTGAAACGGATTACACGAAAATCGAGATGAAAGATCTGAGATTTTTTCTGCATAGCCATCAAACTACGCACGGCTCTATATCCTGCCGCCTCGACAGGCTCGCATTTTCGCTCGCCTATCTCGTTGGCAATTATTAAAAACCTTCGGCGGTACACTCGGTATACTGTAACCTTAAATCAATGCTTCTTTGTGTTGTAATTACGCTGATTTTATAAAATATATTATAAACAAATTATCCTATAAAAAAATCCTGATATCACCCGAAAACTCGTGACTAAAAACGGCACGTGCAAGACGCAAGAGCTCGCGTGAGTCTCACAGCACGTGACAAAGTACTTATAAAAGAGTTCCTTGGCTATGATTACGTAATTACGACCCTCGTGGTGTTTTGTTTGACTTGCTTAGATTTCATTTTCCAAATCCGATGCCAGTAACGAATGTGAATAATTATTTCGAACCAACGAGACAAGGCAACAGGTAAGAGATAAATTTCCCCTTTAGTTCCTTTACTATGTTTTTACATTCAGGATTGCATGAGCTGCATCCTGCCAGCCTCACTACTCAGTAATAATTATTAGAATGACCCGGGAGGAATACTGCGGATCTTTGTCAACTGGCCATGAGATTTCTGCTGGCCAAGATCTTCTCTTCGTTATCATGTGCTTTCTAAATTCTCTTCAGAGAATTATAAAAAATAAAATACACAGCAGGTAAGACGTTTTCGGTATCAAAGACAACAACATCAGCCATAGTTCTGATCTTGCAAAATTAAACAGCATGTATCCCATACATGCCGTTTAATGCAGAAACCGGCTTTAGTCGGCTCTATTGTGGTTTTCTGTGGTATACAATTTTCTGAGGTGTACGAAGGTTTAATTATAAAATAATGAAACTGTTGGCCCTAATATATGAAAACCCTTGCTGCAAGTCTGAACTAAATAATTCTCGGCGATGTTCAATACTAGGAAATGGTTATAAGAGAGCAGACGTTTGCTCATGTTGTCACGTTGAATACTGTTGGATGTTGGGATAGGGAAAGCCCTTTTTGAAAAGAAATTATTAAAAACATCTAAGGGTTACTGGCCAAGGTTACGTTTGATCATGCGTACGTATTTGCGTTGCTTAGTTAACTCGTTACAGCCGCCCAGCACATCAAATGGTCCAAAGTGGAATTGCAAATCATCCCTGTGTAGGTCAATGCAGAAAAGGAGTGAGATCCGGTTACTGCATGGATCTCGGTTTCTAAGTTAGGGTAGATCCGCGCTGAAGACAAACTCTTTGTTTGCGCTTAAAATATCATAACTTTTATCAGGCCGGATTGTTTCCCGATCAAGATCATATAATAATTTGACAGACTGCGTGGGAGGCTGACAATTTTTTTGTCCGGGTGTTTGCTTTCGCGACAAGCTTCACTGACAAGTTTCAGTTCTGTGCACGTGTGACCTCTTGCCCTTGAGTCGCAGCAAAGCATCATCAAAAGTTGTTCTACATTCATACGTTAATTGCTGCTCTCTCAAAACGTTCCTCACCAATAGCTGGTTTTCACATGACGTCACTAAAATTCAAACTACAAAACTATTGATCATCCTGAGATTTTACTTTAATGATGTATAAGAGCAGCTGAAAACTACTATTCATACAAATTTTCGCTCCGAATGGGTTCTTGGTTTTGTGATACATT